ACACACACACACACACACACACACACACACACACACACACACACACACAGATTACTGCCATGCTGGGTGTTAGGGTGTGAGAATATAAATGGCTTGGATAAATAAGGTATCTCGTAAACAGGTTTTGACAAAACAATCTGCTTTTTCATAAAGAACAAAAGTGTCAATATTTCTGCCAAATTGTAATCCCTCCCTCTGTTAATTTACTACTTGATAAATTTGACTCGCACAACATTTAGTCTGGTGATGATGCAACAAAACAAAGTAAAGCCTCTGCAGACATGTGCGTCTCAGGTTCTTCTGTTACCCACTGGTTTGTAAAGGCAGTCATAAATTTTAATGGGGCTGTTTGTAATTTAGGCAACAACAACAGCAACGCAGTGAAATCTGTGCTTGATTGTAAACACTCAGTTGTTTTCAGCAGAAAAAGAGGGCAGAGTGAGCAGGTGATCCTTTCAGAGGAGTTGAGCYGTGCAGCTTGTTGACTGTTCAAATCTTTAACTTTAAGCTCACGGTGACACAAATAAGTTGCTTAAACCTTATATTTAAGAAGTGATAAGTGTTTGCTCCTGTGCTTGCTTTACTTTAAGGCTTTTAACTGATATCAGAAAATGTTCAGTTTGATACGGTTTTATGAGTCTGTTCATCCTGTTTATTATGAAAACCAGCCAGACTCCATACAGTTTGATTTCTCCTACTTGTCTTGGTTTTACACAGGTGAGTAGGTTAGCTACATTTACTCAAAAGAAATATATTTTAGGAGTAGTTTTACTGCAGCATGCTTTTCACTGTACTTGAGTAATATTATGAAGTATCACTACTTTTACTTGAGTAAAATTTCTGAATACTCTACCCACCATAAGTAACTTTACTGAGTGAAGAACAAATGTTTTAACCAAAAAAACACGCACAGTTTATGTTTATACACAAGTTTTCAATGCTATTTTCTATCTGCTGAGACATTTGGAGGTCAAGTGAATATATTGTAAACAGTACATATAGTTACTGGAAGTACTTTACCCTGTTGTGTAACATGTAATATAT